ACTTTGCTCACTGAAAATAAAAAGTACTTGAATCACTTTTTGGCAAAGATCAAGAACTGCTGCCTTCAATATGGATTATGACTCAATGTAAAGAAGACAAAAATCCTCACAACTGGACCAATAGGTAATATCATGTTAAATGGGAAAAAGATTATTAAACTTGTCAAGGATTTTGTCTTGCTTTTGCCAATGATCATGGAAGCATCAGTCAAGAGAGTAAATGATACATCACATTGAGGAAATCTGCTGCACAGGACTTCGATAGAGTGTTTAAAATCAAGGACGTTGCTTTGAGGTGCTCCTTTCTCGAGCCATGATATTTTCAATCACCCCATGTGCATGTGAAAGTTGGACATTGTTTCTGGAAGACTGACGAAGAATTGCTGCATTTGAATTGTGGTGATAGTGAAGAATACTGAAAGTAGCATGGGCTACCAAAAGAACAAAAATCTCCCTGTAACATAGTGAGCTGCATCCTAAACTTCCCTCGCTACAAGGTCAGCTGTTCAAAACCACTAGCTATTCCTAGGGAGAGAGATGAGACTTTCCACTCCCATAAAGATTCAGTCTTAAAAATCCACAAGGAGCAGTTATATTCTTGGCTTATATGGTCGCTTTCAGTTGGAATCAACTCTATGGCATTACGAATAATCCTTTTGATGTCCCCAGACTCATGGGAAAGTCTCTAGGTTTTTAATTGCTTCACTAAGGGACCAAATTTGGATGGCAACGGCCATCCTGGTATTTCCCCCATGAGATCCTATCCCCCTTTTCCATCTCTGGGACACTGACATCTTTTGATCTGCTATGTGGTCTACTTGAACCCAAGGGGAAAAGAAATGTATATATGAAAAACTAGCCTGGAGCCCATCTGAGAAACATCGTTTTATTACATTAGGGGGCTTATGGACCAGGACAAACAGCACCGCTTCCACCTAGTGGTGAGACTGGAAAGAACATTTCCACGGAGGGAGGTTGTTCTGGGGCTCCTTTTTATACATGGACAGTGGAGTGGGCTACCAAAACCCAGTGGACAGTAAGGCACAAGGTGAGTGCCTGCTTAACTCCCAGGGCCACTTTTGAAGCATTGACACATGTCTCTACAGATGTACCTATGCCATTCATTGACCATATCTAATTGCCATTACATCTTCAAGTTTGAGCATCATGACCTTAAAGATATAATGGCATTTAGAATGTGCTCAACACATATGAGAGCACAACAAATTCTGTTCAATAAATATGTGATTTATTTCTCTATCATCTATTTAATATTTCTCTCAACACTTGTGTCTCTTTACATAGGAGTTAGTTTTCTCTTCATATCTTCTTTCTCATGTGGCCATGACTCAAACTGCAAAGAAGAAACGTAACAGCTCCTATTTTACTGTCAGTATCTCATATTCTGGAGATTTCCTTTTATATCAAATATCTTTGCTGCATTGTTTATATATTAAATGGATGCTATTTTTCTTTCCCTGGAAGCTGGTGCTTGTATAGAGAAGTTAGCCGCTCCTGAGAAGATGATGTCTGACTCCATACACTGGGTGTTTTCATGCTTAGTCTCTAGTCATTTCTCACTTATTTTTCCTATTATCCATCTAATAATAACATTTTCTAAGTTTCAGCTGCTTACGGATCTGCTAAAGGAAATAAAAGAAAATACGCTTTGGCTAAATCAGATTCTGAGTGTTAACTGGTAGTAATGCTCTGTGTAATGGTAAGCGATTAATTAAGATGAGAGGTAGCAGAGGGAAAGGAGACACACGGGAGTGGTTTTAAGATCATTTATAAAATTATTTGTTAAAGTTTCATTTTAGTAGGATGCATTGTTCTCTTTCAGTTCCTGGAATTGAGGACTAGTTGGATGACATCTTTGTCTCTATCCAGCCCATAGCATGTATCATAGAAGCCGTAGATTGGTAAATATTGTCTCTTGCTGAGAGGATTGTATGGATAGTGTTAATGGGGAAATTTGCAACTGTACTAGAGGAGTTTTATGTTATAAACAATAGGATTGTTGTTAGACAGAATAAGAGAAGGCTATTATTAAAACTTTTATGATGACACATTTAAAAATAGTATCTCATTTATTTAAAAGTTTTAGCAATAAAAATGCTGCACGAGCTTGAAGCAAATGAAAGATGAAACCTGAGACTTGCTCATTGGGGCACATTCTTCATTTTACTTCTTTCATTATTCAGACTGATGTTTGCTTGTTTCTGAGCTGTTCTATCATTCTTTCTTTTAGATCCCAAGTACTTAATCCTTTTGCAGATATATATTGGAAAATTGCAAAAATAAAAAGCAGGAAATATGCAAATGATTCAGAAAGCAAAACAACAACAAAAAATAGAGTTGATTTAAAGGCAATAGTTATACAAATCAAAAATAGCCTTAATTAATGACCACCCTTCTAGAAAAGGTCAAAATAAGTACTGAGTGTTCTATAACATTTGACTTTTGGTCTTTGGAGTTAATGTGCAAATAGCAAAGGAGAGTTTCCATCATACTTACTACTGAAAACAATTCTAGGTATTTAGCATGGTTAATTTTTGTTATCTACCTTTATGGAGAACTAGCAGAGAAGAAATTAGTCCCATACAGATAGAACAAGGGATAGCAATCTATCAATCTTCCTATTGATTTACTTATTGTCTATCTAAATTTCAGGAATCTACCTAGTTCATAAGACCAAGACCAATTCTAACTATAGCTCAGTTAACTTCAGAAATAGCAATACCAATAGAGAAGATCTTTGGTTTTATATAAATATTAGACATTACCCCCTGCATAGGTGGGGCATGACTAAAATATGCAGACTGTACAAGTATGCTCCATATTGTAGAATCATCATTGCCAACCAGCGTGAGTTCATTTGTGAAGATGATGGGGTATTAAACTCCATAACTTCTGCCATTATGTGCTCGTCCCTTGAATCCTGTCACAAGGCCTGATCTCACTGAGTAAGCCATATGCATACACTTATCACAGTGATTCAGAGTGGCAGAGGGAAGCTGAGCAACTTTCAGGGTAGATGAGGTTGTGGGCTGACTTCTCAGGTGGAGGGAAATTGTTTTAACCAGCAAAAATTGGGGAAATGTACCAAGAAATTTGACTAGAAATGACTCCCTGATACAAGGCCCAGAGGTATTGGAATGTGTCTAGACATATTTATGAACCCATCTAATGGGGTCCTTGCAAGGAGCAGTCATCACTACGGATATTTGAGGACCTACAGTGCCCCTCGGGTGCCCTCACTCTCCTCTTCCACCCGTCACCTCTTCCTTGCCAACCCTGATAAATAATTCAGCTGTGCCTGTGTGCTACTCAGTGTGTGTTCAAGGACATATACTCTTAAATAATTGTCAGCCTAGCTTTTATAGAAGGAGTGTTTTCATATTCAGCTCGCTCTGAGAGAGACTAGGAAGCTGTGGCCTACCGGGGAAACCCTACGTGCTGTCTTTTTTTGTAAGTAAGGCTTTACTGGAGCATGGAAACAATTTTATTTTCACATGGTGTATATGCCGCTTTCATGATACAAGCATAGTTGATTATTTATGATAGAGACCATATGATGCGGGAGTATAAAATATTCTAAATTCGAGGGAGAGTTTTGCCAATCCCTGGTCTGTGAGAATGAAAACAATGTCAGCATTCTGTACCACTTGGTACGGCTTCCCAGCTCTCGTTCTGACAGGCATACACTTGTGAGTGGCATGAGTATGCTTTTTAAATTATTTAATTTTGGGCTAGTGGACTAGTGGCTTCCTTCTGAAACAATCTGGCCTCCAGCCAATTTCTTCAGAGCCCCCTTGACATCTTTATTTCTCAGAGTATAGATTGTGGGATTCAGCATGGGGGTCACGACATTGCCAAAGATCTGCACGGGAGTTACCAGCACCTCACTCAGGGATGGCTGCGTATAGATGAGGGCACAGGGACCAAAGAACAGTGTGACCACTGAAAGGTGGGAGACACAGGTAGATGCCGCCTTGCGCCTCCCTTCCGCGGAGTGCATCCTGAGAATTGCAATGACAATTCGAATGTAGGAGGCAAGGATAAGAAGGAAGCAGGTCATGGGCACAAGGCCGATGTTGGTGAAGCTCACAGTCTCAATGATAAGGGTGTTTCCACAGGCCAATTTGACTACCGGGAAGATGTCACAGAAAAAATAGTCCACTTCATGAGACCCACAGTATGGCAGTTGGAAGGTCAGCGTCGTCAGAATGGTGGCGTGAAAAGAACTGGTAATCCAGGTACCGGCAGCCAACAACGAGCACACGCGGCGGTTCATAATGATGGTGTAGCGAAGAGGGTGGCAGATGGCAGCAAACCGGTCGTAGGCCATCACCGTATAGAGCAGGCATTCAGTGCTGCCTAAAAAGTGATAGAAAAAGACCTGGGCCATACAGCCTCCCAGAGAGATGACTCGGCTCCTCACTAGGAGATTCGCCAACATCTTCGGCGTGCTCACAGAAGAAAAACCAATATCCAGCACTGACAGGTTACAGAGAAAGAAATACATAGGTGTATGGAGACGGGAATCCGACAGCACAGCTAACAGGATGAGCAGATTTCCTAGCAGAGTGCAGAGGTAGAAAATCAGAAACACAACAAAGAGCACAGTTTCCTGTCCCTGTGTATGTGGGATGCCCAACAGGATGAATTCTGTTACCAAAGTGTGATTCTTTATGGCCATGGGAGCTGGGTTTAATCTGAAAAGGGGGGAAATCACAGTAAGTTAATGATTCTAATTTTCACTCCTGTTACCTTTGCGACTTCTCATGCTATCACTGTAAGAACAGTGATATTGTTGGTAAAATCACCAAAAAAAGGAAATTATTGCCACTTCCAATGAAAAGATATTTTTTATTATGACTCACATTTGAAGAAACAAAATACATCTAGTTAGGAAGGAGACTCGGTATGTTATATTGAGGTTTGAATGCGGACAACTTGGCTGTCAAATTGATTTTATTTTACTATAATTAATTTTGAAATATCAAATAACAAGAGAAGAAACACTAAGGACTAAGGACATGGAAGCACAGAAAGAAAAGGAAAAGAAACTAGGAAAATGATGATGTAAAATTGTAATTTGTGTAGAATTTCAGAGTAATTTTGAAATTAAGCTTTAATAAAATCCTATAAGATAGGTAACATTAGTTTTATATCATAAGTGACAAAGAGAAATGGATCACAGAGGTTAAATACAGTGTGTGAACAGTTCATAATTTGAACCCATGGACTCCATATCCAGTATCCCATAGATATACTTAGGAAATAAAAGAAAGAACTATGGCCATGCATATAAAAGGCAATTCAACATTCTCTGTATTGAAGGAAACTTAAAGGTGATTTACATCAACCATTCATTTTTTTGTTTGGATACCTTCATCCCTACAAAATGGTCATGTTTTCTGCATACAATTTCTCTAGATCATGGAGGAATGATGATAAATCCATGCCTTTTAGAACATAAGAGTATTCTATTATTAAAAATACTGACTGCTTTTTCTTTTCTGTCCTGCTGTCATTGCTTTTGATGATGACGGTCCTGTAAGGTAAAGTCTAATTTGTGCACCCCTTATTCGTCGGTATTAGATGTTCTCCTTGGACACAGAATAGGCAGGTTTCTGACATGAAAAAACAGGTGGATCTGCTTTGTTCTAAACAAATACTGTCTTTCCAGGGCTATTTCAATGACTTGGCTTTGGGTTCCTCAATGATACTTTTTATATTATCCCTATCCTGTTTATTAACTATTATCAATGATTCCAGACTGGACCACAGGAAAGGAACAGTACCACTAAATCCCTTCTTCTATTTCTATTATTGTATTATTACGTTTCACAAACGCTCAAAGCAACTTTGATAACACTGTAGTCTGAACTGGAACTTTCTAATGTAAAATGATAAGGAAAATTTCACACTATATTTACTCTTCGGTGCTTGGACCATAATGTTTCAATATATTTTGGTTTGTTTCTACAAAATAGATGTCCTTATAGAAATCATTTGTAACTATTCAACCATGTTTTTGGCATTTGCCCATCTCTTAAGCCTATCAAAGCATTGGTGGATTTTGACTCTGTTATCCCGTACAGACTCTATTCCTTGCAGCATGATATATTTTTTAATGAAGGCTTCTGGTTTACAACCTTAAGTCTTTTCTAACAGAGAAGCACAAATAATTTGTTTTTCAAACAAAATGCTAAAGAATCTAATATGATAGCAAATTCTTCTTTACTGAAATAACTGTAACTGTAAAGAATGTACATTATTTACTGGCTCTAAGCAAGAAAGAGATCTAGATTATCTTCAATGATACTTTTAATTCAACTTTTTTTTAATAAGCAGAGACTTGATATTCTATTCAGAGCATATAGACAGGTAATGCAAGTCTCTGATGACATATTATTTCATAAGATTCTAGAATTTTTTTCTCTCCAAAGGGAATTAAGAAATAATAAGTTTCATAACTTACCTGGAGTAGAATATAGCATACTTAAGAATCAACTAAATTAAGTCATATGGACTTACTATATTGTATGTGTTTTTCTCATACATAAAGGGAAAACAATTATCAAGTAAAATTGGGATTGATATGTAGAATTTATCAGAAAAGAATAGATTGATAGCTTTCAAAAACTTTATCATACTTACACCCTTTAGCTTTTCTTCTAAATTTTTCAGGAAAAATAAGATACCAAAAAACGTGTGAGGCCAGACAACAAGAGAGCATTTAGATCATGCCTTTTTCATGATGCAATGGAATTGTTTTCTTGAAATTTTGATAAGAAGACGATCTATTAATTCTATAGCTTTAAAGAAAAAATGAGAGATTTATTAAAGTTGCGATTTATACTTCCAATGAAGCTTAATTGGGTAAAATTCCATTGTTTCTCAGGAAATAACATCTCCATGGCTACAGTGTGAAGCTATTCTCTTTGTTCAACAAACAGGCATTGGTCAGACACTGGAAGCAGAAACCACATGAAATGCTGAGCCAGCAAGGTAAATGATTCTTGTATTCATCTTTCAAAGAACTGCTAGGAAATACAATGCAAATGAAATAAGCATGACTCATTTTAATTATTTGGCATTGAAAGTATGTATATGCTATCATTAAGAAATGATTAATTCTTGCTATTGGAGTTCTGAGATACATCTTTACAAAGTAGGAAAATATTTAAAGTGTAATATGAAAGGTCCTAGGTGAGGAGATTTGGCCTCAATCAATGATTGCAAAATGATGAGCTTCATAAATTTTATAAATGACTTGAATTGAAATTTATATAGAATTTTGCATGATGAATAGTGTGCAGCTAGGGAAACAAATGAAGTCTAAAGTAACTAGTCAGTCAAGGGAGGAAGAAATAATAATAACCTTTCATCTATTTATGAAGTATAATTGATGTCTTAGTAGATATTTGGAGTCTCTGTGTGGTGCAAACAGTTAATGTACTCAGCTGCTTACTGAAAGGCTGGAGATTTAAATCTTAGCAGAGGGGCTTCAGAAAAGGCCTGGCAATCTACTTTCTAAAAGCAGCCATTGAAACCCTATGGAGCAATGCTCCACTCGTGAGTTGGAATTGACTGAATGGTGTTGGAAAGAAAGTAAAAGTAGATAAGTGAATGTGAGGTGAGGCGGGTGGAGTGAAGAGATGAAGTGATCTACTTTGAAAACAAGATAGGCTATAGTGCTATTACATTTGGGTCATATGTGAAATTCAGTGAATTATAAAATGTGTATTTTCAGTTTTTCAAGGTTAATATTATGGTTGCCATTGTACATGGTTGCTTTAAAGAATCTATGGATTGACCAAGTAGCGATTTCCTAAAAGCAACTATAGGACTCAGAGTTAAACCCTAAAAACATGGAAGTAAGCCAAATTATTTCAAGGGTTTCTTCCTCCCCATAAACTCCTCACCAACCCTCAGGTTAGTCTGTATCTAGGTGCATTGTTAAAGTCAGTAGTTTTTTTTTAAATCATGATATACCTGTTTTACATATTTATATGTGTAAAATAGACAATCCTATATTTTAAAATAGTTATTTGGGTAAAATAAAGCCAGAATGCCTAGAAGCCAAACTGAAAATATATATCAAATTCAAAACATTTTTAAGTTGTGAAATATAAATGAATCTGAAAAAAAAAAAGAAATATAAATGAATCTGAAGTAGAAGTCAAGCAGTATAATCTACACCTTTTTGTGCGGGTAGGGGGAGACTGTCAATATCATAATAAATATAGAACAGATTGAAGTTGTCAAGAATTTAATTTTACTTGAATTCACATTCAATGATCATGCAAGCAGCAGTCAAGAAATCAAACAACATATTCCATTGGGTGAATCTGCCACACAAGAACTCTTTAAAGGGTTAAAGGACCAGGATGGCTTTTTCAGAACTAAGATGTGCATGACCAAAGCCATGGAATTTTCAATCTGCTCATATGTGAGAGCTGGCCAATGAGGAAGGAAAGCCATAGAAGAACTGATGCATTTGCATTAAGGTGTTAGCAAGGAATACTGAAGGTGCCATGGGCTTCAAGAAGACCAAACCAATCTGTCTTAGAGGAAATGCAGCCAAAATGCTTTTTTAAAGTGAGGATAGCGAGACTTCATCTCACATACTTCTGACATGTTATGAGGAAAGTCCACTTCCTAGAAAAATACATCATGCTTGGTGAAAGTAGAGGGCTAACAATAAAAGGAAGATGCTCAATAAGATGGATTAAAACAATGCCTTCAACAAAGGAAGGTCTGAGAGGCCTGGTAGGGATTCATCCAGGGCAATGTAAC